CCATTTTCTGTTTTGTTAAGCTTCCTTTTTTTGGTACTTTGGCTAGAGAGAACAGGCTTCCCTTGAACCATTTTTTGTCTGCACCCATTGGTATTTCTGCACATACTAGATAGTAGGCTTCTTCAGCCACTTGCCTGAAATATTAAAGGCAATGGAAAACTCAGAGAACACACCACCATGCTCGTTTCTTGAGTACTGATGTCTCCAGTAGTGTGTCTTATTTTCTATGCCTTTAGGAGTCATTTTATGCTTGTTTAAATATAAATTACAGGGATTTTTAGTGTAGTCAGTGGGAGGAACAAGGAGAAATATGCCTACTTCATCTTTTCAGAAACAGAAGATTGACTCACAAAATTTTACCTCCAGCCTACATCTTTTCTCTAAGGTCCTAGACAAATATCTTCCTTGTCATCCACTTTTGAAAGTCTCCAAGGTCCCTCTAATGTAGCTCACAGCTGAGCCACTCTGAAAGGTTCGATACAGTCTCTCTGCTACACAAGGAAAGAAAATTTAAAGTTATTCTTGGCACCTCTTATTTCTCACATTCCAAACCATAATGAAGTCTTTCCCATTTATTTATTTTGGAGTTTTTTTGTTTGTTTGTTTGTTTGTTTTGTTTTGTTTTGTTTTTGTCTTCCCACTTCCCTGTATCTGTATGCAACCATCCTCTAAGCTATTATCAGATCAGATCAAACTTTCTGCAGAACTCTCCTCTGATCTACCCACATAACCCTCCAAATGTTTCTCCATGGTACTTCTAGAGCAATTTTTTCAAAACACTATTGTTATTATTCAATACATTTATGTTGCTTTTAGAACAATGGGGTTTAAAGCTCTTTAACCTCACCTTTAACTTGCACATATCCACTGTAGATGCTTAATAAGTACCTTTTGACAAATGACTATAGTGCTCTAAAATTGTAAGTGTATACCTCTCTAACTACGTTCAAGTCATCTAAAAGGCAGAGATAGAGCCTGAAACTCTGTGTATCCTCAGTGTAGCAGCAATCTGAAAATTCTTATGAAAATGATCTTGGTATTCTAATGACTTTATAAAAGATTATATCTATTGTGTCAGAAAAGCTGACACAAAAGTAACACAGACCAAGTTATTAACTATCCTGTATTTCTCATACCAAGAGAACTCATTTACCCTTAGTTATTACTATCTGCTTTTCATATAAATATTCTAAAATGTCTAAGTATATATATATATATATATATATATATATATATATATATATATACACTTTTTAAACCACCAACTTACTTCTCATTTTTTATGGAAATCTATAAAATACTCTTAGCATTTTTGCAGATTAATCATCTATGGAAAAAATTGTCATAAATTTATAAAGAATTGAATTTTGACAACAA